AAAAGGTGTACATCGTGGCTGTATCCTTTCTTCATACTTATTCCATCTCTATGCAGAACAAACCATTTGAGAAACTGGACAACAGAAGAACAGATTTGAGGAAGATTCATCAACAATCTGCGTTGTACAGATGATACAACTTTATTAACTAAAAATGAGGACTTACGCTTGTTACAGAGAATCAAACACTAAGGCCTTCAATATGGGTTATATCTTAACAAAAAAACAAGGAAACATCATGAGAGATACAGAAGACAAAGAAACTGTCAATGACTTCATCTTGCTTAGATCCACAGTCAACACTCTCGACATCAGCAGCCAGGAAATCAAGACATACTGCATTGGGAGTCTGCTGTAGGGGACCTCTCCAAAGTGCTGAAGAGTAAAGACGTTAGTCTGAAGAATCAGGTGCACCTGATTCAAGTTATGGCCTTTGCAATCACTTGCTATGCATCTGAAAGCTGTACAATAGACAGAGATTACAGAAGAATCAATGTTTTTGAACTGGATAGCTGGAGAAGAATGCTGTATATCTCATGAACTGCAAAAGGACAAACAAATATGTCTTGGAAAAGGTGCAGGCAGAGTGCTCCTTGGAGGCAAGCATGATGTTGTTATGTGCTGTAGAGTTGCAGGCAACTCATAGTGACCCTATGAATGAAAGACCTGAACACCTGTATAATTTTCGTCCTTTCTCTAGGTTCATAAGTTTTCTAGAGGCAAGCTATTATAGAAGTGGATGCCATTTCTGTTTCCAAGCTTGTTTTAATAGGGGAGCTCCACCAAACACCGTCCACCAGGGGTAACCATTCTCGCATTTGACTCATCAGTGTCACAGTGTTCAGATTCACAGCAACCATGAGTTGCCTCTGTAGAGCAAGCGGACATACCACAGTTATACGACCTAGAAGAATGTTTCACCAAAAACAATTAAAGACAGGCCTGAGGGCTGCGAATTAGAGTTACCCACCTTTGGCTTGGGAGCATGGTTTTCTACCCACTAGGCCAACTGCTCTCTCTCTATGTGAAACTTAAATAGTGAAAATCTGGGTATGTTGTTAGGAGGGTCCAGTCCTTGGAAAAGGATGTCATGCTTGAAAAGGAGGAGGGTCCACAAAGGAGGGGAAGCCCCTCAATGACACGAATTGATACAGTGACTGTAACATTGGGTTATGGTGTGTCAGAAATGATAAGGACGGCACAGGATAGGGCAGGCTTTAGATGCATTGTTAACTGGATCACTATGAGTCACAGTTGACCCAACAGTACTTAATAACAACAGTTTAAACAAAACCCAAAAAACCCCTCACAAGCTACATAAGGAAACCAAAAAGGATGGCCTTGTCAAAAGAACAAAATGACATGAGAAAAACCAAGTCTGTGGAAGCACAAACTTACATGATAAAGACATTAAAACAACAGCATTCAATATATTCAAAGAACTAAAGGAAAGCATGGACAATGAACTAGACAAGGAGGTAAAACACATGAACAAAATAAAACTACCAATAAAGTGAAAGACATTTTTAAGATGGATGGGGAGAGAAGTGCAGCAATGAATGAATGGAAATCCAAAATCTCTATAAATGCTCATTAAAATTATTTTAAAAAAAGGAAACAAGTAGAATTGCTGAAGCTGATAAGTACAAATAAAATATTTGTTGGAGGAATTAAATCACAAGTATGATCTATCAGAGAAAAGATTTCAAGAGCTTAACTATAGGAAAATTGGTATTACAGGGGAACAGTGTGTGTGTGTGTGTGTGTGTGTGTGTGTGTGTGTGTAGTCTTGTTGTTGATTACTGACCGATAGCTGATCCTCCAGCAGATTTTCAGAGGCAGTTATCGCATGGAGACTGCCCTTCCTTCTCGCATGGAGTAGCTGCAGGTGTATTCGAGCTGTGTGCCTTAAGGACTACTACAGTGTCGATTCTGATGGGCAATCTCCTCCTGTGGGACTTACTGCCTCTGAAAAGCTGCTGGAGGGTCGGCTATGAGTTGGTTTTGACTCAATGGTATATAACAACAATAAAGTGTTAGTACGAAGCTCTGAGGTCTAGTGGAAAGGAGCTGTGCTGCCATCCTAAGGGCACGCAGTTTGAATCCACCAGCTGCTCTATAGGAGGAGGACAGGCAATTTCTCTCCATCCAATTTACTGCCCCTGCAAACTTACTGAATTGTCAGTTATGACAACAAAGTGTTAGTAGTTATAAAAGGTTTGTGGAGAGGTTATTGTTGTTAGATGTCATCAAGCTGATGACGACTAATAACAAACTATGAACAGATTGAAACCTTTCCCTATCTTGCAACATCTTCAAGATCTCCACAAGGCCCATTGTTACAGTCACTCTGTCAATCTACCTCAGTGAAGAGCTTCCTCTCTCTCACAGACTCTGGTGGTCTCTACTCTAGTGGTCTAACCTAAGAAGTTGTGATGTCAACCCAAAGGCACACAGTTTAAATCCACCAGCTGCTCTGCAAAAGAAAATATAGGTACTCTACAGTGCAATTTACTGCCTCTGAAAACCCACTGGAGGGTCAGGTATGGGTCCTGGAGGGTCTGGCTGTATATACAGGTCAGTTCTGTTTTGATAGTACCTAATAACAACTACTTTATCCAGCATGATGTCTTTTTTTTAAAGATCAGCCTCACCAGACAACATACTTATAGTACATGAAAAAAATTACACTATCCTTGCTAAGGAGCATCCCAGTCACACTTCATCCAAGATATTTTTTTAAATTGTTGTTCTTTTGGCAGATCATGAGATATTTAATACTCTTTATCAAGCACAATCAAAAGGCATCAATTCTTTTTCAATCTTCCTTATTAAGTATGTGAAGCAAATGAAAATATCACTGCTTGGATCAGATACATTTTAGTCCTTATACTGATATCCTTGTTTTTTAGTACATTAAAAAGCTTCATAACTGTAGATTCATCGAACGCAACAAATCTTTTGATTTAATTGTTGCTTTCCAAGTAAAATGAAACTCTCGACAACTTCCATCTTTTTCTCTATCATAGTATTTTTGTTTTCTTGATGTTGAGGTATAATCCATGTTGAAGGCTATAGTCTGATCTGCTTCAGTAAATGCTTTTAGCAAGTAAGCCTGTGTCATCTGCATAACGTCAGCTGTTGATGCGTCTTCCTCTAATTCTCATGTACCTGACATTTTTCTTTACATAGCCAATTTCTCAAATTATTTACTCAGCCTACAGACTGAGTAGGTATGGAGGAAAGGTACAACTCTGATACACACCTTTCCTGATTTAAAACCATAGAGTTTATTTCTTTGTTCTGTTTGAGTAACTGCTTCTTGATCTATAAAGGTTTCTTCTGAAGATAATGAAATTTTCTATGTGTTGCCCAAAAGACAGGATGAAGCACTAACCTCCATTCCTTTGTTATCTTATTTAGAGAAGTAAGAGTTTTTCTTTTGCAAATATTATTAGTTTTGCTGATGGAGTAATGTCTTCTCAGTAGCATATTATGGAAAATGAAATCAGATAAAAAAGAAAGTCATATACTGGAAGGGAGGAAGACATATGTAAAGACAGAACTATGAGCTAAGAAACGCCCAGGACTAACATAAGCTGGAGAATATAAGAAAAGATTTTTCTCAAGAGTAGGCAAAGATACAGCATGGCACACTAAAGTAAGATTTACAGTCTTCAGAACTTGGAAATGATAAATTAATGTTCTTTTTTTTTTACAGCATATTCTTCCCATTTAATTTTTTCCCCATTCATTCATTATTGTTCATTTTCCTCCTTGCCCACTCCTCCCCTTCAGTTCGCTTTTCTCTTTGAAAAGAAAAGAAAAAATTTTTTCATGTTATACAATTTCCCCCACTCCTGCCCAAGTCCACAGTCTACTTTACTATGCAGTTCTAATTCTGGACTCTTGCATGACAAAAATACCTAATCATATATTCCTTTTAAACAGTTCTCTCCCTCATTTGTTTCAATTCAGTATAGATAATTTATTTATCTATCCCCTCTTTTCTTAGATTCCCCCAACCCTGATGTCAGTCCTATTTTACAACAGTGGCACTATGCAGTATTTGTCCTTTTGTGATTGAGATATTTCACTCAGCATAATGTCCTCCATGGTTACCTATTTTGTATAAATTTCATGAGTTCCTTGTTTTTCAATGCAGCGTAGTAATCTATTGTATGAATATACCACAGTTTCTCTATCCATTTGTTTGTTGATGGGCACTTGGGTTGTTTCCAACTCTTTGCTATTGTGAACAAAGCAGCAATAAACATGGGTGTGCATACTTGTAGTATTTTGCTACTGTGGTACTGTAACCTTGTGTTATTTAGTTTGCCTAGTAAACTAAGACAAGAAGAATGGTTAAGAATGGTACTGGTTAAGGGATATTAAGTTTTAAGTTTGGGGTGATGAAAATTTCTGAAGTAGTGATGATAGTAAACAACATGGTGAATACAATTCTGTTTCATTGAATTATACATTTAGCTTCATTAAAATTACTTTTTTATCTGTTGTTGCTTTTATATGCTCTCTGGTCAGCCATGACTCATGGTGACCCTCTGAGCAATAGTTTGCCCTATCCTGAGCCAATCTCACCATCTCCAACACAATTTACACGACTTCTACAGTCACTGTGTCAATCTACTTTGAGGGTCTTCCTCTTTCCCGCTGACCCTCCCTCCATCTTTCCTAGCATGATGTCCTTCTCCAACGCCTGTAAACATGCCCAAAGTGTAATAAAATGTGCTGCAACCCAAAGGATCCAGCAGCCACTCTGAAAGAAACAAAGGCAATCTCTTTGGGTGCAAGTTACTGCTTCTGAAAACCCATTCGAGGATCTGCGATGAGTAGGTTTTTGCTCAAAGGTAAGTAAAAAACAACAATCATTTTATACCAACAGGCACAATTAATTAATAACAAAAATAGTGTAATATCAATTATCTTTTACTTATTAATTAATTAATTAATACGTTTTAGATACAGAATCAGCCACTTACCTTAAGATCACGGTGAACAATGCACTTTTGATGACAATACTGTACAGCAGATACAATCTGAAATAAATATTTGGATAAGAGACAAACTGATTTAATTGTATAAGCATACTAATTTTTTCAAACATGATCTTCAATACAGATAAACTGTTAAAAAATTCCAAGGTTATAATTTTACTATTATTTTAATTCAGAAAAGTATATTTACCATATTAAAGAGATAAAATGTGTGCTCTTAAATATAGAAAATAGAACAGTAATATTTTCTTGCTAAAAGAGGCTATGCTTTGTCAAAGTTTGTGAGAATTTTTTCATGTGTTGTTATAATTCAGTTTACATGATCAAATGTATATGATTTGTAGCATTTTTGGTCAGATAATTTATTGCAGTGTTACAATAAATGCTTTCACACTCATGAGTTAGAATTCCAAGATAAGTGGCTTGAATTTTAACAGCAGAACTCTATTCTAGGAATTATATAAACTGTATAAAAAAAGCTGTTTTAGTAAAGCCGATTTACTAGTAACTTACTAAAAACCCATAACTATATGCTCATCAAAATCAGATAAAACAGAAGGTGATTTTTTGTTTTTTATGATAAAGAACACCATCACCAAAAGAAAAAAGGGAATAATAAAATTTAATCTTACACCTGTACCTAATTCATGTGGGCAAATTATTCTGCTTCTGTTAAGCAGATTTTTAATGTGGTCACAATTTTTCAACTTTATATATGGCTCTAGGGAGACAAGAGCCAAACAGAACTTTAATAATTTAAGGGCCAAATATACAAATGAGACATCAATTACTAATAAGTCTATAATAGTTATGCACTTAACAAATTACTTAGTATATTTAATTTATAAAGCAATAAACTAAGTATTATTTACTACATGTAAAATCTCTGATATAAAGAAGGACAGCTATTTTAATGCACAAGGAAGTTCTCACTTCTGTGGATTCAGTTAAATGTTAACACGGTTTGAAGGATGAAAGTTGGTTAAGAATTTAAATGGAGACAGAAAAAAGATTTTTAAACTCTAGTGGCAATGTAAATAAAGTACGACCATGCTAACAAGAAAATGAGTTAAAAAGAAAAGAACTTCAAAATGGTACCAAAAAAAATTCGATGTTCAGTATTGTAAGATCATTCTAATTTGTTTAAAAATGGTTTAAAGACAAGAGACATGAATTTAAAACAAAATCAACACATAATGAGTAATATGTAATTTAATTAATTTCATTTAAACTCAACATATATTTATTGAGTACCTGCTATGTGCAAGCAAACGTGCTGGCTGCTGGGAGAATACAAAGATAAATACTACATGGACCTGCCCTTAAGGAGCTTACAATCTAATTAAGAAGAGAAAACATGAATATGGTTAACTACAAAACAAGGCAGAATGACAGAAGCAGAGGTATAACATAGTAAGGAATCATAAAAAAAAAATGCTTCCTGGAATAGAAACAGTATCTAAACTAACCTTAAAAGGATTAAAAAAAAACCAAAACACCTACAAAACCCCCAAATCCATTGGCACCAAATTAATTTGACTCAGTGATTCTATAGGCCAGAGCAGAACATTCTGTAGGGTTTTCAAGGCTGTAAACCTTTAGAGACTCAGGCTACTGGATCTTTCTTGCATGGAGCAAGTGGTGGGATTGAACCGTAGGCATTTTGGTTCACTGCTGAGCAATTGACCACTGCACCACTAAGGCTCATTCCCTTTAGGGAGTGGGAGATGAGACCAAAGTGGTAAAAAAAAGGATGAGCATACAGTAGGAAATATAAGAGGGAAAATGGTTATAGTGATAGTTAAATCTCAATAAAGAGATGGGTAAACCAAACAGGAACCACTGAACCACTAAGCATTTTTAGCAAGGTGATTAGGATTTAGGATCAAATTTGAAGTGTGAATCTCAAAAATATAGCTGAAGTTAATCAAATCTATAATAATGGTTTCTTTAAAATATCTAATTGTTGTTAAATATATTAAAATATTATTCAAAACATTAACAAATTTTATGTACATTTTGTTATATTTTGTTGAAGAAACAAAATAGACTACACTATGTTCATATTATAAGGGTACTTTGTGTTATGTTGTTGTTGTGTACCATGGACGCAACCCAAAGCTGACCCTCTGGCAGGTTTTCTTTTTTTTTTTTTTCTCTCCCCTCCCCTCTGGCAGGTTTTCAGAGGCAGTTAATCACACAGGAGGAGACTGCCCATCCTTCTCCCATGGAGCAGCTGGTGGCCTCGGACCTCTGTACTGCACGCAGTACAGCTTCTTGCCCCTTGCCCATCAGAAAACTGCTGATAATATTCCCTTTTAGATGTCATATGCTTGAAATAATACAGTGAAGGCATGTTAGGGAAAATGATTTAGTTACCTAGCATGACCACAGAACATGCACTTCACATCAGAAAAAATGTTTTTAACAAAAGCAATTCTAGGGACACTTTTTGGAATCAAACTTCCTGAACCACAGCCTAAAGACTGAAAAGAGAGTTAAACAGAATGTTCTTTATTAGGCATACATTCTCTTGAAACTCTGTGGATGTGTGGTGGCCCATATTACTCTGCCTTGCCTTGGTGTGGTTACTGTGAACTGTGTGGTCAGAAGTGACCCATAGCTGACCCTCCAATAGGTTTTCAGAAGCAGTAAATTACACTGGGGAGGAGATCACCCATCTTTCTCCCGCACAGCAGCTGGTGGATTAGAATTGTGTACTTCTGGGTTGGCAGCAAAATTCTTATCACTAAGCCAACAGAGTTCCCTTCTACTTGCCTAGTCTGTCACACAAGACATTCTGGCATTATTTTACTCTTATTTACTGTGGTCAAATACGCTCATCACAAAACATTCTATACTTCTGTAAAGAGAAGTAGGAGCTTTCTACGATCCTCTAACATGGATCTTGAAAATGGGATTTACAACCAGCCCAACAGTGAATTAAAGATGATGAAATCAGTATTTTACAGTGAGGTGTAGCTGCAGAGGCTGTTCTGTAACCCCAGAGACTTCTCCAAGTTATAAACAGAGCCTTAATACTGGAAGAGTGAATTGGTACTATGACTTTCCTGTAGACCCTCAAGTCATAAGTGGTGGCTGGTGAAGTAGACTCCTGTCTTCAATGCACTAAAGGACAGATTTATGTACATCTTGCTAGTATGAAACATTCTTTCATTACTAAAAAAAGAACAATTTCATAAAGAATAGAATAAAAATACATGGACATTTATTCATTCTTGTGAATCTTATTCACAAAGGATAACAGAGTTACTTAGAAATAAATTTAAAACAAAGACCAATTTTTATTTAGATAACAATGTATGTGTGTGTGTGTGTGTGTGTGTGTGTGTGTGTGTGTGTGTTTGCGCGCACGCGCACCTGCACACAAGCATGTGGACAAGCTCACATTCCCTCTTTGTACATGTAAATGGCTCTGTTTTCTTCAGCAATCAGATAAATAAAAAAAATACATAATATTTATAATGAATTTTTATGCAGAAAACATTTCACATTGCTTTACATATTAAACAGAATTGACTGTCAATTTTTGAAACATGAGAAATATGGAATATAAAATTGGACTTGGCTGCAAAAGGCAGGCAACTTCAGTAATTATCCAGATTTATATAAAAGTATCAGTATCCCCCCTGTTGATCTTGCTCCTTCATGTCAGTAAAGATGACATCGAGTTTAAAATTGCAAGAATCATCAAATTCCTTAATTCCATAATGTGCTGTACGTTACTCTATTAAAAATAGACTAAATTAGCTCATAAGTGTGCTTCATAAGTCTCTTCAATAAATAAGCTCATTAAAAAGTACAAAAAATAAAATGCCAACATTCTTTAAAATATATTTCATCCCAACAGGAAAATATAATGTTAATTAAAATTTTCTTGCTGGTCTGCTAGTAAAACTACTGTGACTGACTGATATTAAAAGAATGTAACCAAGATGTTCCTTTGAGGCAAGGATGATGAAACTTCATCTCACATACTTCAGACATGTTGTCAGGAGGAGTTAGTCCTTCGAAAAAGACAACATGCTGGGAAAGGTGGAGGGTTAGAGAAAGAAAGACTCCCAACAAGACTGAAAGATACAGTGACTATAACAAATGAACTGGAACATTTCAGAGATGGTAAGGAAAATGCAGAGATATCTGTGGTGCCCAAGGGTTGCTATTAGGTCACAGTCAGCTGAATGGCACTTAACAACAACATTCAAAGTGATGACTATACTTAAGTGTAAGCCTAGGCTGTCATGCCAGGATATACCCTAAAGAGACCATAAATGACGTCCAAGTAGATATATGCATACCCATGTTTATCGTGGCTTTGTTTACAATAGCAAGGAGTTGGAAACAACCTAAATGCCCATCAACAAATGAATGGGTAGAGAAGCTGTGGTATATCTGCACAATGGAATACTATGCTGCATTGAAAAACAAGGATTATAAAAAAAAAAAAGAAAAGAAAAACAAGGATTATGCTGAGTGAGGTATCTCAGTCACAAAGGGACAAATGCTATATGGTGCCACTGTTGTAGAATGAGGCTGGCATCAGGGTGGGGGTAAGACTGAGAAAAACTCAATGAAATATGTTTACGGCATTGAAGTCTATGGGGGAGAGAACAGTTTAAAAGTATTTTATTTTAGGGCATTATGTTTATCGTAGGAGTACACAATGAGGGTTGCAGAGTGGATTATATTTGGGGTTGGGGGTGGGATTGGGAGAGGTGTGGGAGGGACTGTGTACCAATGAGGGAGTTTTTCTTTTGATTTTCAAGGAGAGGAGCAAACGGGGGTGGGGGGGCAGGAGAAGGGTGCAACAATGAATGAATGGAATTCCAAAATCTCTGCAGTTGTTCATTGAAATGAAAAAGAAATAAATTAAAATATTTAAAAAAAAGACAAATACAAATTAATAAAATATAATTATAGAAAAAAAAAAAGACAAATACAGCATTAAGACCATTATTGTAAAAACAGAAGGATAACTAGTAAAATACATATGGGAGCTCAAGAGGTGAGGATTAGTAGAGGTGAAAAGATAGGGTTGCACAGTTTTGGAGGGGAAGGTAATGGGAAGGATCTGCGTAAAAAGACAGGGTAATAATGGGCAAGGTCCAAAGGTGATTAATTTTATAAAACATAATGCATGAGAAAGATTGTACGAAACACAATGTGAATGAAGGATACTGTGAAACACAATGTATACCAACTTTGTAAGCAATCAAATTAAAAACAAGATAAAACTAAAAAAAAAAGAAGGGAATTTAGCAGCATGCAGCAGAACATGATTCAGTCTCAATGCTGCTTCCTTCTTTACCTATAGTCTTTCAATTCTACTATTTTAAGATGAATGCTTTTAGGGTACTATTCTTAAAAGCATAGCCTATGTTTTTGGTATAAAACATTTCCCATATTGTATTCCAAAAAGTAATACTTCTTTGAGATATTAATAACACGTTTTAAAAAAATAATGACCTCACACTATGGCAAACTAATTTGTGAATGCTGTGGGTAAAAAAACAAAAACAAAACCCAACAATAAAACATGAACACGTTTTCCCTCCTCTACCAGTCAGGACTTCTCATATTTTTAAACATGCTAAGACAGAAGTTGCAAGGAGGGACGGTCTTTGGAGAGGGACATTGTACTTGGGAGGGTGGAGGGACAGCGCAGGAGGGGAAGGCCCTCTATGAGGTGGATTGATTCAGTGACTGGGATAATTGGGATGGGAGTGTCGGAGACAGTGCGATTGGCACAGGACAGAGCAGAGTTTAGGGCTGTTGTACATAAGGTCGCTATGAGTCGCAAGCAACTCAACGGCACACAACAACAACAACAACAACAACAAGACAGAAGTCTCATTATTTGGTATTTCTAAAACTTTAATTATATAGCTTTTTAATTGGAGTTAGTGTTCATATTTAAAGATGTGATGTCAAGCTATTTTTAAATAAAAGATTTTAAGGTTGCCAAGTTAAGATTCTGGATATAGTTAGGCTTGCTACTGAAATTTTATTTCTGTAATTTTAAAAACCAATTACAGTTTACTAATTTGTCATTCTCATAGTGATTTATAAAATGTAATTACTTTAATTATTCAATTCCTAAAAAAAAAAAAAACCCAAACAAAACTCCTAGATGAATTTAGCTTACATTTTCTTCTTATCATTTCTATTAACAAGTCGTATTTAAGTTGAACCAGAAATAGGAATATCTTACCATATTCTTCTGCCAAACATGCAAAGTTCCACGACTACTTGGCTAAATAAAATTGACCATAATCTTTAAATCTACAGAATTATGAGTCCTAGTATCAACATGTATTTATAAAACAAAATATATATAAACCTCTTTGAAAAGTAAATACATATGTTGCACACATAAAGCCAAGCACACTAGATAATAATTTTTGGACAAACTCCTCAAAAGATCATAGCTTTCTATACTATCTATTGTGTATTTCCAAGATTTCCCAAGAGCTAATAAAGTGAACTCCACCTGTAAAAATTTCACTATTTGAGAGAATCTAAAAGTATCTATCTGAAATTTTTAAATTTAAAATTAAGAACAACGTATTTCTTTTTAATAGTTTCCATTCTTAAAGACTGCATTAAAAAAAAGTAGGACTTTTTCTATTTTAAAAATCATATGCTTTGAATTCCAGTTTGTGATACTGTCAATTGTTCATCAGTACAAATACCATAAAAACAAAGTCAAAACTACTTTCCATACCTGCCTAAATTTTGCACGGGCCTCTTTCTCTTTCATTCTTCCATGGGCAACTAAGTAATCAAATACTTCACCTGAATCAGAAAGGTAAAGCAGGTAGTAAAATATACATAAATTTTCAATTTACAATATGCAATTTTAAGTTTTTGCCTTGTTAGATTTTTTAAACTTTTGGCCCACAATTTTATGCTAAATCTATGTAAAGCACAAAGTAATACAGAAGTATATAAAAAAAGAAAAAGATACATACAGAATTGAGTATCTGTAGCAGCTTATGTCTTAGCAAAACTCTTTAAAACTTAAGTCATAAAAACATAACCATTAAAGTTTTCTTTCTGCTGTCAAATCTTATGTAAAAATACAGTCAACTCTTTATTATCCATTCTAATCAAGGGAAGCCACAACACTGGCAATCAAAAACTACATCTGGCTTTGTGTCTGGGGCCTATATTTCAAAGAATGAAGTAATATTCTGTAAGTTCTGTTTTTTCAATTCTACCATCAAATAGTCTTGGTCAAACCTTCTCACTATTTCCAGCCACAATGATTCCTTTCTTTTCCATCCTATATGCTAACTATGCTTATTCTCACTGTAACTCCTTTCACATACTTTGACTTAACTATTATTATAAAGACGGAAGTCATTTCTGCATGATCTTTTATTACCCTAAATGAACTATTACCTACATGATCAACATCATGATATATATACTTTATTTGTACCCTTATTCTCATGACAGAACACAAAGTGGAGAGACAATAATACTTGTTAATACAATTTGAAAATAACTAGAAATTCTGTGTTGGCTCCACTACATGTTTTCTGCAAAAGCCGTTAAACTTTTTTCCATTTTTCTCTAGTCAGTAATAGGGAAATAGCAGATTATATTTAAATATACTAGTAAAAATAAAATATTAACTCTAGTGCAAGAGAATTAAACATTTATGACCTTATAATTTTAGCTTGCAATAGAGATAAAAATATAAGATCATTAAACACTCAAATATTGGCTCAGAGAGCTCTTATACAGCACACTGGTGTTATTATGTATCAGAACTGACTCATAGTGACCCTCCAACGGGTTTTCGGAGGCAGTAAATCACACAAGAGGAGACTGGCTATCTTTCTCCCAAAGAGCAGCTGGTAAACCCAAACCACAAGCCAATGAATTGGCAGTGCAATTCCTTACCATTAAGCTACCAGAGCTCCTTGTAAAGCACAGTAGAATGGGTTCAAAATTCTTTAGAGTCAAAACAGTTGGGTCTCAACTCTGAGTTAGCCACCAAGTAGCTATTAGTCAATTACTTAGCATCATAAAGACGCATTTTCTACCTTTTGCCTGAAATCTCACTGCTGTGAGGATTAAATGAAATAATGCATGTGCTAGCACAGTAACTAGCATATAGTAAGCACTCAATAAATGAAACATATTACATATACATATATGCAATATCAATCCTAGGATAGAAGTAAAACGTTCAAAATCAAATATGTAATGGATGCATGTCAGACGAAACTAGTACATCTACAATGTTAGACAGTATGTTATATCAAGCGTATTTAAGTGATTTAATGGGATGATGAGAACGAAGAAATGAATGGCTGCTCTAGTTTATCTGTCACAGTAATTAATATAGTTTGTGGTATATAGTTACATACATGAACCAAGGCTGGGAAATACTTATCCAAGACTTCAGAGTTCTGCCTAGGATCCTGACACTGTAACATTTAACTGGCTGAGTTTTTCACACAATTTATTATATGTGTTTATAACTTCTGCCTCCTATACTAGAAATTAATCTTTAATCATCACTGTATCTGCATCACCCACAATATTAACTGATACACTGCAAGCTTCTAATAAATATTGTCTGCATGAATAAAGGGAAGGATATACCATTTCAGAATCACCTAGACATCTACTTTTAATGGGCTCTTTTGGACTAAAGACGGTTCAAGGTCTTATGTGAGTTTATTGGTTTCCTTATCATTGTTACTTCTACTTCATTAATGAACCAAAATCAACTGACAACAGACCTACACATGGCAAGTTTCGTGTGAATGTCATACTGAATTGTACAACATCTAGAAATTTCTGAGGAATATTTTGTTTTACTTTCCAGAATCATTTTGCCTTTTTTTTAAAAAAAACAAAGCAAAAACCCACAGATTAGAAAGGCAAGAAAATACTTCTACATTCATTGCCATAGAATCATGCTGGTTTTGTCTATTACAGGGTCACAGATAGGCAAAGTCCCATTAGTAAAGAAAAATCTATGACCAGCAATTAGAATTAAATAAGTGACCAGCTGATCTGGGCTGAATCCAATATCCATCTCTCCACATTACAATGCATTGTCGCTCCCAACTATGCTATTGAAGGAGAGCAGTGCCAACTCCCTGTGCTCTGTTATTATTCTAGCAATTGCTCCCCTTCATTAGCACGAATAGAGAGTTGACTGTAATCAACTTACCAGTAATCACTAAAACAGAATATATATTAACACAGCCTTGCAGACCTTTACAAAAACAGACAAAGAGTCCACAAAATGTTATGTGCCACGGAACTGATGTTAACTGTGGCCCTTTAAGGACAGAGAACTGTCCCATAGGGTTTCCTAGGCTATGATCTGTGTTGGAGCAGACTGCCAGGGATTTTCTTCTGCAGAGTGGTTACTGAGTACCAGCCACTGAACTGTGGCTGAGCAGGTCGGCATTAAATTGTTGTACCACCAGAATTCTTTGAGCAAATTCTCAGCAGTCTATAATATCTAGTATTAAAGTTTATCTCCACTTTCCCCAAACTTTAGATCACGGAAAAGAGGAAAAAGGACCTATTAAAATAATACTAAGATATCCATGTTGGCAGACTATTGTAGAAAACTAATTAAAGAATGAAAAAAATTCATTATGTGATAAATGTAAATTGATTAGTTTTATTTCAGACCTAAATTTTATGCAAATTTGAATGGCTGTATTAATATAATTTTTTAAACTGTAATAATTAATAATAATAATAATAAATGATACAAGTTGTCAGGTAAAACAATGTAAAAAACCCAAATTTAAATATTTTCAAGATAAAAAAAGCTTTGAAAATTCAAATCTACTACACTTAATTGAGCTCAAATAACTAAAAAAATATAGTTAATATGTGTAAACAAAACTTTCAGAAATCTCAATAAGCAGTATAAAAATACAGTTCTTTAGCTTCTATAAAAATGTAAAGATCATTAAGAATCCATAAACTTTATTAGCTAAAAAGAGCTCAAAATGTGATTTTTTTCTACTGAACAGCTAATCACTAACATTGGACAATCAAAGCAGTTTAGATAATATCAGCTACCTTTCCTATTCCCTAATTGTTTCAAATTATCTTTGTCCTTAATATCTTCCTCTTAAGTATTATTTTCTTTACTTAGTAAATAATTTAACTCCATAAATTTAAACCAGTTTCTGAGAAAGCTAAGTCTTCTGCCAAAGACAAGTGATTTCTGAGCTAACAACAAGTTATTTTCCATTACATATGAGTGTTTAAAAACCATTCTACTTTTTGACACTATGGGTAGTCAAAATATACATCATAACCTCATAAATGGCTTTCTAGCTTCCTGTCAACTTTGTCTGTTACCTTATAAAATTACATACATATTAAAATTTACTTAAATGAAAACATGTTATGGGTCATCTTGATAATGTACATTTATCAAGAATCTGTCATGTATAAATAACCAGTAAAAGAAATTTCCACCAGAGCACATGTCTTTACTATAAACCTTACTAAATTTAGTCTGTGCTTGAAATCCTCCCTGATTGTAATAAAAAATTTCTACTCACATTAATTTTATGATATACAAGTTTCCTCATCTATATGAAAGCTGAATTCTGGTGTAAGACCTTTCAAAGTCAGATGAAAGCAAAGAAATAATTACTAAAAATTAACATGAGAAGTATTTCTGAATAACTTCAAGACCTCAAAACCATCCTAACAAATCACACCAAATAACACATAAAATCTAAAATAATATTAACATACAGTGTTCAAAAACACAATTAAAAGCTTTTGTGGCTTCAAGCTGAGATACTATGTGTAGTTCTTGGGGAAGGAGCTTGGTGCTGCTATTCTAACTGCTTAGGGTCAGTGCTTCCTGTTGAAACAACTCCCTGAAAAACAAGCCCGGAATACTAGTTTCACTTACAAGTATTAATGCGGTTATGTTTTAAGTGAGCATAAAGTAAATGATCAAAAAGTGGGGGAGGTGAAATACCTGTACACCATAGTAATACTTAGATAAGAGAATGGTGATATTCATAGATGGCAACATAAATTTTGAGTTCTGGAAGATGTCCCTAAGTAATTTTAAATAAGTGAAACATTCAATAATTAAATGAAGATTAAGTAAGTCTTCAAAGCAAGTACTTCAAAGCAAAGGAATTTTAATAAAACTATAGATCCATTAACATTAAGGAAGATATGAATGTTCTAATGGACCTTCAGGCACTGACAATTCAATATGATTCATCAAAGTTAATTTTTAATCCTTACCCCCACTGGCGTATTCCATCACTAAATAGAGGGTCTTCTCTGTTTCAATAACTTCAAATAATTTTACTGCAAAAAGATATGAAAGATATGACTGTCATTGTTATTATATGAATATGTTTTAAGAAAATTTAGGATAGCATCAAGCCAAAGGAAAACTTGAGAATTTCTTAAAAAAAAATATTAATTATAAATTTTAAGAAGGGTCCAAATGTTACTGTTCTTATAAAAAAAAAAAAAAAGAAACTACTTATCAGTAAATAATTTGGAATTGACTAGTGATTCAAAAAAGAGTTAAAGTTCTGAAACAATACTAAAACAAAAATCATACTGCTTTTTCTCTAATTAAAATAATAAAAAGGAGATCCTTAAAATAGTAATTACAAACCAATTAAGGCCTAAAAGTGACTATGCTATGTAGTATTAAATGGTGTCTGATAAAGGTCATAAAAAAACATGTAAAAAATTTATGAGACATTAGAGTTAATTTTTTTCTTAAAAATTAGCTTTCTGAATTGAATAATCCCATTTAGCATTTAAAAAGTACTAAATTATGAGAATTATGTAGTTAGAATTATTAACAAATAGGCACACTGATATCTTTGATAAAGATAATATTTTTTAAATGTACAAAAACCAAGTATTCAAAATAAATACTAAAAGAATTGTATTTGGTATAATAAAATAATCTCATAAGACAATATACTTAAATTAATTTTTAAAGGGAGTAATGTTAATAACATGAATATATTAAAATTTAATTAAACTTTTATGTTTTTTGAAATATTTAAAATATGAAACTCAAATGCATATTATCAAGTCATATGGAAGTCTGTTTTAAAAGATACTAAATGGTATGCACTCTCCAGAGAAATTAGTAAGGAAACTGAAAAATAACAACAATTACAGTTTTAAGTGTTAACTTTAATTCTAAGTCTAGAATTTTAGTGGAGATTACAGTAAGATACAAAAAAATAGCAATTCATAGCTTTCAATTAGCATTTTTAAGGAACATATCTCTGTTTTTACTCCAACTATCACTTATTTGGTTATATAAAGCATTCTTAAAAAGGCATTCTTTGAAAATACTATCAAATACACTATTAACATATATATACCTTTCATACCTATATTAGGATGATTCAATATCTTCATGATTCGTACTTCTCGAAACAACTGTTGAAGAAAACACGTATATTTCTGTTAAAAAAGAACACTAAGGCAGGAAGACAATGAAAAAGAATCTATTTAAAAATCTTTGGCTTACAAAAAACACTAACTGCTACAGGATCTTAACAGGGAACTGAGAACATAAACTGCAGCCTAGACAGAAATGATAACTCTAGAGAGCCTAAGTTTCCTAAAGAATTTTAACTATGGGAACTACTCAAATTCTCCTAATGAACATAAACCTATTTTTTAAATGTAAAAGCTGTAAAGAAAGCAAACTATTCTCAGTATCACTTTTAGAAATTTACAGAACAATATTAAAGAATTTAAAAAATATTCATCACCTGATATGAAACCAATACAAAATGACAAGTTGTCTCTAGAAACAAGGAATGTTAATGCGTCCCTCCCCTTCTGTTTTACTTTATTGAGCACTATAAGGCCAGTTTTTCCAAAAGTATGACTTGGCATTATTATCCTCTATGCTTTCTTGGCTGAAAATCAAGGAATTTGTTAAAGAAAACAGAGAAATCAAGAACTAGTAGTATTAGCAAAAGTGCGGCCTACCTACAACCAGAAGATAAAATAGATGAATTGGATCTTCTAAGAATCAAATCCCTATGCACACCCAAAAACTTCTCTAACAGGGTAAAAAGGGGAAGCCACAGACTAGGAAAAAGTATTTGGTAATGACATATCAGATAAGGGACTTACATCCAGAATTTATAAAATACTTGAGTACCACAACAAGATAAAGGTAAATAATACAAAAGAAAAATGGGCACAGGATATGAACAGACACTTCACTGAAGAAGACATTCAGATGGCTAACAAGCACATTAAGAAATGTTCAAAATTTCTAGCTCTAAGAGAGATGCACATTAAAACAACTATGAGATATCATCTCACCCCAGTCAGAATAGCAAAATTTACCAGAACAGCAAGCAACAAATGCTGGCAAGGTTGTGGAGAAACTGGAAACCTTATTCACTGTTGGTGGGAGTGTAAAATGGTGCAACCGCTGTGGAAAGCGGTATGGCGCTTTCTCAAGAAGTTGAAATAGAGATACCATTTGACCCAGCAATTCCACTACTGGGAATATACCCCAAAGAGACCACAACTGCCATCCAAGCAGATATATGCACACCCATGTTTATCACTGCTTTGATTGCAAGAACGAGGAGTTGGAAACAACCTAAGCGCCCATCAATAAACGAATGGGTAGAGAAGCTGTGGTATATTCACATAATGGAATACTATGCTGCATTGAAAAACAAGGAACTCATGCAATAGTATTCAAAATGGGTGACCCTTGAGGACATTATGCTGCGTGAAATATCTCAGTCACAAAAGGAAAAATACTGTATGTTTACTGTTGTAAAACAGGACTAACCTTGGGGTTGGGGGGAGACTAAGAAAGATTGGTTCAATAATGTATACTGTCTTGAAGCAGATGACAGAAAACTATTTAAAAGGGATATGTGATTAGGTATTTTTGTCATGACAGGTGTCTAGAGTGAAGGCTACATGGTGGAGTGGACCTGGGGGAGGGTTTGTAAAACAATGAAAGTTTTGTTTTACTTTTACAAAAGGGTAGTGTACTAGTGGGGAGGGTTGGGAAAGGAGAAAAGTGCAACATGAATGAATGGAAATCCAAAGTCTGCAAATTTTTACTGAAATTAAGAATATATTTTTAAAAAAGAAAGAAAATTACTATTTTAAAAAGAAAAAAAAATGTGTGGCCTAGTGGGTAAGGGGTTCTGCTGCCAACTCAAGGGTCTGAACTCACCAGCTGCTCCTTGGGAGAAAGATGAGCAATTTATAGTCTCTGAAAACTCACTAGTGGGTTGGTTCTGACACAATGAAGTAATTTCGCATTTTTGAGATTGATTTTAAGACATGAGTGTTTTTATTAGAATAAAGTGTAACGTTTTAGTGGTTGAGAAGAGAATGATTCTATTTAATGTGGGTTATTTTCAGCCCTAAAAGAAAGGGTAAGTGAAGTGTAAGGTAACCTCAGAACAGCAAACTGACCCACAAATGTTGCACCCAGAAGAGGTAACCATAAAACAAGCAAGCATACAAATTTTATAAAATAAGTATGCAACTTTTCTGTAAATGCTTACTAAAATCACAATAAAATTTAAAAAAGAATACAGTGAGAGGAATCACCACATGATCTTGTTAAAACGTAGATTCTCATTTAAGTATACCTCAAAAGGCAAGCTAAATTTTCAGCAGGGGATAAAACCAGAATGGACAACTAACTACCAAGGCCAACTATGAGAGGGATTATAGGATTTGCTATTATCAGTTATTATTTGTTAAAAAAAAAATTCTGCTCCTCTAAGTGACCTAAGCCTCAAGAATGTTGTTGCATTCTTAAGTTTAAAAGAGCATTTCAAGATCTATCTTGAAGTACAATGCTGTAATAGGATACTTACTATCCATAGGTATACAAGGCCATTCTGTTACTAGAATTGTTACTAAAACATACACACTAAGCACTAAAGTAAAAAATGAAGAAATTGAAGACTGCTGCCAACTTCTGCAGTCTGAAATAGACTGAATATGCAAAGCTCAAAACAAAGAGAAGAAATGCTGATGAAAAGGAGATGAAAAGATTCTTATTTGTGTTTTATTGAGTATATAAAGGCATATGACTGTGTGGACCATAACAAATTACGGCTAACACTGAGAAGAATGGAGATCCCAGAACACTTACTTAGGCTTACATGGAATCTACACCTAGATCAAGAAGCTGTTTGTTTGAATGGGGCAAGGGAATATTTCATGGTTTAAAATAATGAAGGGAATATATCAGGTTTGTATCTTTTCCCGTTTTCCCCATATCCTTTTCCCTGTTCAGTCTGTATGCTGAGCAAATAATGTGCGAAGCTGAACTCTGTGAAGAAGAATGTGGCATTAGGGTTAGAGGAAGACTCATCAATAATCTGCATTATGTAGATGACACAACTTTGCTTGTTGAAAGTGAAGAGGATATGGAAGGCCTGCTGCACAAGATCAAGCACTGACAACAACCTTTGTTATGGACTGCATCTTAATATCAAGAAAACAAAGGTCCTTGTTACAGGACCAACAGTCAACATTATGACAGATGGAGACCAGCAGTCAGGAAATCAGGAGACATATTGCGTTGGGCAAGTCTACTGTCAGGAACCTCTGCAAAATGTTGAGGAGCAATTATCTAACTCTGAAGTCTGAGATGTGTCTGATGCAGGTCATGGTCTTCTCAATCACCTGCTATGCATCAGAGGGCTGGACAATGACTAAAGATGACAGAAGGAGAATTGATGCCTTTGAGTTGTGGTGCTGGAAAATAGTGCTGAATACCCCATGGACTTCCAAAAAACCAAACAGGTTTGTCTTGAAGAAGGTGCAGCCAGAGTGTTCCTTGGAAACAATGATGGCAAAGCTTCATCTTTCATACTTTGGACATGTTGCTGGCAAGGCTATTCCTTTGAAAGGGACTTAGAAAGACAGACGGTCAAGCAAAGGAGAGGAAGACCTTCAACGAGATGGAGTGACACGGTTACTTCAGCAGTGGGTTTCTGTGTGTCGGATTATGAAGATGGCATGAAATAGGGCAAGGTTCAGGTTGGCTGTTCATAGGGTCACTGAGACATACTTGACTCAACAGCACCTAACAACTACCACCATACGTATTTCATTTGTATGCTAAGTAAAGAATTAAAGAAGTTGGACTATATGAACAATGTGGCATCAGGACTGAAAGAAGATTAAACAACCTGCTGGCTAAATGTGAAGAGGACTTAAAAAGCTTGCTGAAGAAAACAAGGCCTATAGCCTTCAATATAAAATACATCTCAATATCAAGAAAACAAAAATCCTCACCACTGAAACAAAAGATAATTATCATGATAGACAGAGGAAAGATTGATGTTGTTAATGATTTAATTATACTGGAATCTACAATCAACATTCATGGTAACAGCAGTCAGGATATCAAAATACATGCTGCATTGTGAAAATCTGCTCTCAAGGACCTCTCCAAAATGCTAAAGAGCAATGATGTCAGTTTAAAGACAAACGTGTGTCTGATTCAAGCCATGAAATTTCCATTACTTCTTATGCAGTGAATAAGGATGACACAGGAAGACTCAAGGCTTTTTAACTGTGGTGTTGGAGAAGAGTACCTAAAATACTATGGACTGGCAAAAGCAGAAATAAATCTGTCTTAGTGAAAGTGCAACCAGGGTCCTCATGACAGGACAGGATGTTCTTACTTATTTTAGGCATGTTGTGTAGAGGAACCAGTCTTTGGAAAAAGACATCATACTGAGAAAGGTGGAAAGTCAGAAAGTGGCTGATCTTCCACAAGATGGACTGAAACAGTGAGTGTAACAACAGGGTTGAGCATGACAGAGATCATGAGGACGGGGCAGGATAGAGCAAGATTCAGACCCGCTGTTCATAGGGTTGCTATGCGTAGCAATTAACTTGACACTAACAAGAACAAAGTGTAAGGATAAATCACAATAAACAGGAAGGTACAGTCTACACTGTAGTTTCTTTCCATTCATCTTACAGGTTTATAATGTTCACAAATAATACAGTTGTATGAATAACCTTCCTTAAAAACTTATATTTTAGCAAGAATGAGTCGCAGGCGACTCAACGGCACATAACAACAACAACTAAGAATGAAAAAGAATAATCACTACGCCTTAAAAAACTATAATTTTTGCAAAGAATTTATCATCACTGTGTTAAAATATGCCCAATTAACAAATGAAACATCCCCCCGACCCCACTAACAATTCCAAATGTATAACAATAGGAACTGCTCGTGGGAATGCAAAATGGTAGTGATTTTGGAAGATAGTTTGGCAATATCTTAGAAAGCTAAATATTTTTATATCATAAGACCTAGCAACCAACATTACATTACAATATAGATATTTATGATCATTCTTTAAAAGATTATGCTTGGAGTATGAATTATCAAGAGCAAAAAAAAAATT